ATTATTCTACTTAGCTCACGAACAGCGCCCTCGATCAAAGATTAGATTAAATTATGCTGATGCAAACAAATAGATAATGCTAATAACAAACAATTATTTTTAAAAATATTATCCAAATATATATCACTCGGGTAGATATGCACACGGGTCAATCCTGGGGCGAAGCCTGGGTCACCCGTCTAGTTAAAAATAAAAAGGAATTTCTTGACCGTTTACATGAGCATTTTGGATGGTACAGTAGAGCACCATCAAGAATTTCTCAAGAAGCCTCTGGAACCAAATTTTGGTCGTCAGAAGTTAATATATATTCATATAAGAAAATAAAACATTAAAGAATGCAAGTTTCTCTTACATATAATACAAATTTCCACTGTCTTTACTACGATAAAAACGATATTGGGAGGGCTTGGCTCATCAGATGTAAACCCTCCCAACGCTTTTGCCAATATAATTCGACAATAGCTCATGGTAGTTACCCTTTTCATCTCAGTAAGGATTTTTTACCACTTTTTTTTGAGTGAAAGAAACTTGGGTGTTTAAATGTTTTCTTTTTATATATGTAGATGGCGCGTTATTGCCTTATAATATATACAGCAGAACCTCCATGAGAGGACACTCCTGGTAGAGGACATCTCTCTACAAAGGACAGTTTTCATTGTCAAAATTATCATTTTTACTATTTAGTAGCTCTCCGGTAGGAGGACACCTCTCCCTAAAGGACACTTTGGCTCTGCAATTAGGTGTACTTTACAGGGAGGTAGTTCTACTGTAATAGATTTTATATATTCAATGTATTTTCAACCGATATATTCAACATATATTCAATCTGTATATGTTGGAAAAAATTCGATAATAAGAATATATATTTCAATTCAATTTTATATTCTCATTTTATATATTCCAGGTTTCATATGTTCAATTTCTTTTCATTTAATCACGCGAACAACTATTTTCAATATATATTTTTCTAAAAAATAAAAAGACAAGTGAAATTATCTATCAAAGTGAATTTTATTTAAGTAGTATGTTTTTGTATCTAAACTAATTTACCTATCTATGCAATTAGAGGCAATAAGAAATGTGTAATTAAGTTACAAATTGAAGAAGAAAAAAGATTATAAATGGATTCTTCCATGCGGAAATCGAATTGTTTTTTTTTTTTTTTTTTTTTTTTGTAAAAGAAACCTCATCAAATTACTTTGGGGGGGGGGGGAAGAATAGACTAATTAGGGAATAATAAGAGAGAGGAGATAAGAAAAAGTTGACGACACCAACTGAACGAAGAATGGTATTAGAGAAACCGACAGATTTTACTTTGAAGTGAAGCCTGCCATCCCATAATAGAGGTGCACGGTCCATTAACCATGTTTGCCGTCCCTGTCAACCGTGACGCCCAGCTTCTGATAACGACCAACCATTCCAAGCACATTCTTGATTCCTTTCTCTTCCGCCTTCCTCCTTAGGTGTTTCACCTTAGTCGGCAAATATCACATGAGGTCATACGTATCTCAACCATTCAACTTGTAGTTGTAGGTATCCATTCTACGGGGCTCTGACACATTTGTAAGTGCAAAAGTGGAACTGCTTTTCACATTGATGTCCAGCTTCTGATAACAACCAATCATTCCAAGCACATTCTTGATTCCTTTCTCTTCCGCCTTCCTTCTTAGGTGTTTCACCTTAGTCGGCAAATATCATATGAGGTCATAGGTACCTCGACCATTCCACTTGTAATTGTAGGTATCCATTCTACGGGGCTCTGACACATTTGTAAGTACAAAAGTCGAACTGCTTTCACATATGTAGACATAAGAAAAAATGTATTTCTTGATCGTGCAACTGAAAGTTGCTGATGGCTTGCGCCATCTATCGGAATGATTATCAACTAATCGTTGATTTCTAATTATTCCAGAATTGGCCAAATACTGTTCCTGATCGTGCAACTGAAATTTGCTGATGGCGCAAGCCTTCTCATAATGAGTTTCTTTTTATTTCAAAACGCTAGCTTTCAAGATTTTTTAAAAATATTTTTATAATTTTTTTTTTTGTCAAAAAAGGCTTTCAAGACTTTCAGACTGTATTTAAACGATCTATCCCGGTAGTCAAAAATATTAATTTAAAATTATCAGCGATCATTGATTTTTAACTCGAATATTTCATTACATTCTAACACGTGGAAGGAATTCGAAAATCATCTATTTTAAAATTTCTTTAAAGAAAAAAAAAAGAAGATAATAATTAGTCTATAACTATATGGCAATATATGCACATATATATATATTCGAAACCATTATAGACGTGTAAGATTCTTTTTTAAAATAAACAATTTCTACTGTCCTTACTGCAATGGAAAAATTAATAGGAGGGCCTGGAGGGGTCATCAGTGGTGAACCCTCCCAGCGGTTTCGCCAATTTGATCTACCATACCGCTATTATAATGCATTTTTCGAACTTCCTTTTATAGTGATACTATAAAGAGTCTAGCATCAGTATCACTATAAAAGGAAATTCTAAAAATGCAATATAACAGCGGTTGGTAGATTAAACTGGCGAAACCGCTGGGAGGGTTGACCACTGATGAGCCAGGGGCCCTCCCCATTAATTTTTCCATTGCAGTAAAGACAGTAGAAATTGTTTTATTTTAAAAAAGAATCATACGCGTCTATAATAGTTTCTAATTTTGATAACAGATGGCGCGCTAATGCATCATAACATATATATATGTAAATCTATAGGGGAATATAATTACATATTTACTATGATAAATAATCGAGAGAAACTTTTAAACTATTCCCAAACTATTATGCAAAAATATTCGAGAAGTTTTAAAAAATTATTTATTTGGTTCAGAAAGAATAAAAAACGATACATCAAATTTATTGTGTGGAAACATGCTCTGTTTTAGGACGTCTTGTTGAAAGGAGATTGATGGCCTGCAGTGGATATATTTTAAGAACGATAGTCCAGTAAAAAGTAAAAATATAAAAAGTAGAAAGTAACCGACTGATATGATTTCGAACTCGGAAAGTTGCCAGGAAATTCTTTTTTATTATTCATATTCATTCATAAAATCGTAAGATAGAATCCTCTGATGTATAAGTTGCAGTAACACCCGAAAACTCCGAGGATAAGTTTCTTTATTTCATAAATGATATCTCGAGCTTTCGGGTATCGTAAACCCTTCGACAGGAGTGTATAAGACGAATTCGTAATTAGGTCTACGATACCCGAAAGCTCGAGATATTATTTATGAAATAAAGAAACTTATCCTCGGAGTTTTCATGTGTTGTTGCAACAAAACATATTCATTCATAGTTTGCTTAAATACCATTTCTAAGATTCCACCTTTCAGTGTAGCATATATAAGCAGAATGATCCAATACAGTATTAGAGTTCTGAAGAAGCGGTCTGGTAGATTAAATTGGCGAAACGGCTGGAAGTGTTCACCACTGATGAGCCAAGCCCTCCCAATATTTTTTAATCGTAGTAAGGATAGTTACAGGTTGTCCCATAAATAATGGCCGTTTGGACACGACCAATTAAAGACACCACATCTAAGCCAAAAATGTGTTTATTTAAACAAAGTAGGCATCATTAGAATCACAGCACGTATGCCAACGTGATGGTAGCATTTTTATGCCATTTTCATAGGTTAGCGTCTTATAATGTCTTCAATTGTCATATATACTCGTATATGCCACGTTATTGCTTTGTATTAATTAAACCATATATGTTCATATCAGGATATGCCTATTTTATTTTATATCACTACCTGAAAGTTTCTCTTTTTTTACCTTTTTGCATATATTTAGAGTACTTATGCAAATATGACACTGACAATCCATATCTTGATTTATTGAAAAGCTTCTTGGAACAATTCTCTTCTTTTTGGTCGATAAGTTACAGTCTGCACCAAGCTGATGAGGACCAACAGCCCGAAACGCGTACGTGGTTGGCTTTTCATGATTTATAAAGAAGATAGGTTGGCTACATATTATAGACGAACTTAAATTAAGGTTTAATTGGGGGTCGGTTATCTAAACCGTTGGTTTTCAACCGCTACGACCCGGGTTCGATTTCCGTATTGGGAATTTTTTTTCTGATTTAAAAAATATATGTCCCAATGCCCCCCGATTCTTGCAGAAGTCCAACCCCACCAGCGAATGCAAGTGACCAAACGAGGCTCTGGCACATTTGTAGGTGCAAAGTCGAACTGCTTTTCACATGTGTAGACATGTGGTGCACTTACAGTGAAAGCAGTTGCCTACTTCTACCCACCTTCCACCGCATGTAATGGGATAAGCAAAAAAAAAGGTCTAATTGAATTTTATTGTTGTAGATATTTATAATAATGTCTACAGGAATGTTTATTATCAGATACTAACACTCAGCCCTGTAGGCGACTGCTTTTACTGTAAGTGCAGTATATGTTTACACATATGAAAAGCAGTTCGACTTTGCACTTACAAATGTGCCAGAGCCATGTTTGGTTACTTGCATTTGCTGGTGTGGTTGGACTTTTGCAAGAATCGAGAGCCATTGGAACATATATTTTAATGATTATCATGGCCTCTACCACATGTAATAGGAATAAACAAAAAAAAAGGTTTAAATGAATTTTTTGTTGTAGATATTTACAATGATGTCTACAGAAATGTATATGTAGTCCCCACAACAACATTATCAGATACCAATACTCAGCCCTGTATTGATTTGTACCCGATAATTGGTATTGTCATCTCTAGTAGGGACTCCCAGATTGTGTTGATTAACAAACAACATTCTATCTTGATTGATAAATCTTTTCTTTTGTACCTTTTCTCATTTATTTATGTCAACACACAAAAAAACGCTATCACAGCTAGGGATAATTGCTTCGATATACATTTTTAAACAGAAGCAGTTATTTTTATTTTTCTGTTCATCATTACTCTCCTATCCTTAGGGATGAATTATGAAAGAATGAATTGTGAAGAATAATGATGAATGGAAAAAAGAAGTGCCCAGGGATTGGAAACCGAATCCACAGTGTTCCGCTTACCATGCAGATGCCATGTCCACTAGGCTACTCTGGACACTTTTATTTTTCCGTTGATCATTACTATTCACAATTCATCCTTTCATACTTCATCCCTAAGGATAGGAATAGTTGTTATTTCTCCTTAAAATGAATTAAGATTTTTAGTTCAAAAGAAACACATGCGGTAAACTTTTCAAACGTCGATTTACAATCATAATCCGCATAATATTGTATTATAAGTTATAAAAATACTATACAAGAAATTAAATAAATAACAATAAGATATATTAGAAACCTGATCCTTCCAGGTTAGAAAGATAATCATAAATATATTTTTTAAATGGTTAAATCTGTGATAATTATCTCTAGTATTTACAAATTGATATAGATCTACAACATTATTTACTGTCTGTTGTCTAGCGCTAAAGAAGAGTTGACATTCCAGCAGTAGGTGTCTTGAGTCCTGGGTTTCCTTGCCACAGTGACAGCTAGAGTCCTCAACCACTCAAATTGTTGCTAAAAATCCCTTTAAATTTTCCGTGGTTCGTTGTAAACTGGGTATAATAAAAGTTTGAACGCAAAAAATGATGGAATTCCAAAAGGGGAAAAGCTTTGGAATGTTTGTTTTTACAAATAATTCATCCATTTTTGCATTTAAAAATGTACCCTTTTCTCATGAGAGTATAAATATATAAAACTTAATTCTATTATAGCAATATATTTATATAACTTATTTAACTTTATTAACATCCTATAAAACGATATCCCAAACTCATGGATATTTGCTTCTATACATTTCTAACATCATAACAAATTGGCTATATACAAGGAGAAAAAAGACAAACATACAAAAGCAATTCTCTCAAAATTTCCTTCCCTCTCTTTCCCAGTTCAAAAGATAGTTGTATATATATCTACAAAATTGATTAAAATTTTTATATGTTCTTTTCTCATCTACATATTCATATATTTATTATTATAAATTCACTTATTAGATAAACTAACATCCTAAATAAAATATAAAATAAATTTTAAATACAGTATAAGCTTCCTTATAATCAATGTAGTTTAGATATCTCCAAAACGGAAAAAAATAAATTATAGCTTTATTACTATCTCATTATATCTATGAATGCCAAGATATTAGTGAGGAGAGAAGGACATTCTTTTCAATGGTAGACACCAGCCAACTTAGGTCAATCCAAATGATGTTAACCAGTGCCCAAACAAACAGACTAGTTGTTCAGGACCTATATAATTTTTACAAGGCAGTAGGTGTAAAGAGGGAGAAAAGAGATCTTGGAAGCTATTGTTCTTACACCTCAGAATGATGACGAAACATCGAGGGGTCGACCTTTCATATTAAATCTTACTTTTCCTTATTACTAATAATTGTACATAGTTGCGGAACTACTGGTTTCCTGTGCTGCTCTTTTCCTGATATTGCACCTTGTACGGAGAATCTGTATAAGACTAATGTCTTAATAAAGGCTTTGTGTGTGTGTGTGATAGCTTTATTTATATAAGCTTGTCCAAAAAGTTCGTGTTTTTTTTAAAACGTTGTTGTTTCTTATTACTTGACCAATAATTATATTACGGCGAATACATAATAATACATAATACAATTATGATGCATTAACGCGCCATCTATTATGATAATTTGAAACTATTAATAATAATACACATATTTATACATAATTCAAAGACATTAAAATATACAAGTATCAGAGTCATCAATCAATTCTTAATTGTCACCGTTTGCTTTTGTGAATGGAATAAATACCCAAATATGGCCATTTCTAATAAGCATCGGTAGTTCAGTGGTAAAATACTCGCCTGCCACGCGGGCGGCCCGGGTTCGATTCCTGGCCGATGCATTTTTTTTTTTTTTACAATTTTTAAAACTCATTTATATATTATACAAGAATGACACCCACGGCGCCAATTTATAATTGTAATGAATAGTATTTGAATAAAAGCATTTAATCGGGTAAAACCCGGGCGTTGCACGGGTCATTCGGCTAGTTATACATAACGGCGAAAAATAATAATGACAAATAATATTGGTTTTTCAAATTTTTGCGAGTGTTTACGAATTTTTGGGAAAACCTTGTATATCGAGGAATAAAATTGAGGATTGAGACCGAATCCTGTAGAAATATTTTTGCCATAAAATGAATAGTGGAATCTATTAGTAGAATGTATTTTGATCAATTCATGTTGGAGACTTGTCAACTTTTAAGAAAATATATTGTCAGCTATAATATTATATTTTTATAACAGTATTTTGAAACTCATGATGCCAAAAGTATTTTAATGAAAATTACTGGAAAAGCTTTCATCACTGAAGAAAACAATCATTTTTTACACTATTATAGTTATCATTGTAATAATGTCGCATTAAAGTGTACACTCATGGACAACACTTAAGGAAGTTGTACCTTTTAGCATGTATATCGGGATTCAGACAATAACTCGGAAAGATACACTCATGGACAAAACTTAAGGAAGTTGTACCTTTTAGCATGTATATCGGGATTCAGACAATAACTCGGAAAGATACACTCATGGAAAAAAACTTAAGGAAGTTGTACCTTTTAGCATGTATATCTGGATTCAGACAATAACTCTGAAAGATAAACTCATGAACAAAACTTAAGGAAGTGGTATACCTTATAGCATGTATATCGGGATTCAGACAATAACTCTGAAAGATATTACAGTAAACTTTATTGAAGACACACGAGATAACCAAGTGCGAACAAAATTGCCTTTGTCTCCTTCAAAAACAGACGATAGCGACATCAAAGACTTTCTACTTCCTTAAACATTGTCCATGAGTGTAATTATAATTTATAGGAGCTCTATCTATGCCTTCTTCCTGCGGTGAATCTGTATAAGACCGGTGGTTCTTTGTTCCAAAACCACTTTATTAGGTACCGCTCAACAAGAACAACCTAGTTTATGATATTTACAACAATGAATGTGAAAGTTAATCACATATTAAACAAAATGTTAACGCGGGATTCGATCTCGGTTCATGGCTGTCGGGAATCGAGTGTGTTACCTACTTTGCCGCGACCGGTGGTCTTAATAAAGCGGTATATGTTTGTGTTTAATATATATAGGAAAAACGTATTCCAAAATAGGTTCTATTACGATGCATTAGCGTGCCGTCTGTTATCAAAATTCGAAACCATTATAGACGCCTATGATTCTTTTTTTGAGAATAAACGATTTCTACTGCCCTTACTGTAATGGAAAAATTTATGTGAGGGCCTGGCTCATCAGTGGTGAACCCTCCCAGCGGTTTCGCCAGTTTAATCTACCATACCGCTATTATATTGCATTTTTCGATCTTTCTTTCATAGTGATACTGATTCTAGACTCTTGGAATGGGTGTTTTAAATGAATTATGTACATAAGCGCTAATGCATCGCAATATAATTGTTATAATAAAAGAAACAAATTGATATTTGAGGAAGAGCGATTGCTCGAAGCATATTATATATTTATAATTATATGTAATTCTGCTGTCCTCAAAGCTTATGTCCATTGTTCATCTAAAATACCCATTCAAAGAGTCTAGCATCAGTATCACTATAAAAGGAAGATCGAAAAATGCAATATAACAGCGGTATGGTAGATTAAACTGGCGAAACCGCTGGGAGGGTTCACCACTGATAAGCCACGTCCTCCCATTAATTTTTTCCATTGCAGTAAGGGCAGTAGATATTGTTTATTTTTAAAAAATAATCCTACACGTCTATAATGGTTTCGAAAATAGGAAATATATTTGATTGATGTGTTTGACATTTGACAGCATGGAACTAATGGGGAAATGGTGTGTTCAGGTTTCTGGAACGACTATGAAGGTAAGACCACGTTTTCCTCTACCCCAGTTTCCTTCTAACCCTGAACCTAACTACCCTTTTTACTATTTTTTAATAGTTTTCTCGAATATTTCCTTGTGTCATGCTATACGCTTCATTTAGTACTTTGATCATATCTTACTCCACGTTCTTTTAATATTCTCATACCCTCATGGGTAAAACGTAAGGACGTTTCATATATTAAGCATTAGCGAATGTACCATGCTTCGCCCGATTTAATCCGAGTAAAAGTTTGCCTAACAAACATTTGTCAAAACGATTCTAGCAAACATCCAATCCCTACTGAATCTATACTTATCAAGATAACTTTATGTTTGATACTCCTGCTCCACCTAGCTGTACCCGTTCACATGTTGTTGTGTTTGAACACACACATGTTCAATACATGTTTTACTAGATTGTCCTATTTTGCAAGACTACAGAATCGACAATGATTTAATAGTAACAGATACAAGTATTTTTATTTCCAGTAAAGAAATATATATTAAATTCAATACCTTTTGTAGATATATTTTAAATTATATAGCAACAAATATATTTTAAGAAACTGATAATTTATATTATGTTGATTGTACATATTGCCAGACACTTCTTTCTTTTATACACAGTTCTTTTCTCTCTTTCTCATTGTTAACATCATATGACTATTCTATTCACGGCCTAAAAGTATTGTATATATATATATAGACAAATGTAGAAACATACATGTATGACAGCTCAAGTGTCCCTAGGGGGACATAACGCTTTAAATTGAAATGAAATAAAAATAACAAATATATATTAGTAAATTTTAAATTTTTAAATTTAATTGCAATATATAATAAATGTATTTACAACTTTTATTACGAAAAAAATAAACGACAAAATATATCTCACAACACAAGATAAAGAATTACATTAATTTTTTTTTCCGAAATTTTTATATCACAGAGTGTGATTTTGTACAAATCAATTTGGTAACAATGAAAGATATCTTTCAATCCATATTTCTTTTATCTTCTTTTTTATATATATATATTTTTATGGAAGAAAGAGATATATGTGTTCTTTTTGTGTAACTTTATTTTATCTTTAATAGAAAAAATAACAAGTACATTTTTTTCGTAGTGTTTTTGTAACTTCTCTATAAGTTACATTGCTACAATATATACCATTAATTACAT